GAGTTCGGTCCGGGCTTCATAACTAACCTGCGTCTCAAAACACGCCAAACTGTTGTTTTAGGCAGCTGCAATTCCCGACTGGCACGACGTGTTGATTTTGAAGGGCTACGTTGGTAAGCAGCTTGAATCCGTGCGACATTTTCTTCAGATACACGAGGTCGGCCAGGACTCATTCCTTTACATACACAACCTGTGTCAACAAACTGACGGTACCATCTGCGAATGTTCCATCCATTCGGAGAATCAATTTCGTACCTCAACCGGAAACGTCTTTGCACTGTAATCACGGAATTACACTTCGCAAGCTCAAGAATACAAAAGCTTTTGTGCTATGGCGTAGCCATTTTACAACAACTGTGAATATGTCATTGTAACCAAGCACAAGTGACATCTGGGGGACAAACTAGACAATGCACTCGTTTCTCCGATACCCGCAGCACACCGCTACTATCGATAGTTTATTAAATATATCAGTTTGAAATACGTATATTCTTTTTGGTCCACCCTGTATAACGTTAAAGCATTATCGGTAAAAAATAATTCGCTGGATATTTTAGATCAGTGTTTTTCAACCTGTGGGTCGCGACCCCCAGGGGGGTCGCAAAGCCTTACACAGGAGTCGCGGGTAAAAGAAACCGACGAGTGTTTGTAGGTCCTACACTGCATTAAAAAACTACAATTTTAGCGCGAAGGCTGTACGTGTTTATTTTACAGTACAATTGGTGTTTTGATCGATTGTTAGGTCTCAATCATGAGTGTAGACAGAAAGGGGCCTGGGTGTATACGGCTCACCCCAGAAAATCATAGCTGCAAAAGTGTTGAGCTGATTTGCAAAAATAAATAAAAAGTAGAACAGTAGAATCTGAAAAATTTGATCCTAAAAAAAGGTCCGTGCCCAATGTTCTAATTAAAGGAAGTTTCATACTTTACGTGTGTTAAGTTATTGTCGATTCTCCTGAAACTTTCGTTTTAATCAACAATAATCTGTCTCAACAGAAAGGAAATTAAATACAGTTTTAAAAATCACTGATACAGTTTTAATATAGCCCTAGGGGGTCGCCAGGATTTTTTAACTTGTAAAGGGGTCGCGTATTCAAGAAGGTTGAAAAACACTGTTCTAGATCTATAATCGAAGATGTGTGAGGTATAAAATTATCTAACTGATAAATCTTCCCACAGTAAAACATTTCCCTACTAATTGCCACGTGTTATGCTCAATATTTAAATTATGCAATGTGTACCTTCAACAGCTTAATTCTTATCAGAAAAATCAAATACGAATATTACAGGAATAACTCTAGTGCGAAATAAAACGTCTATTTTATTTCCATTATCTGTTTGTATACTTAGTAATACAAGTGTGTAACTATCTTTTCATCAAGTATAATGATGTGTAATTACAGTAGACCCCCCCATAACGCGGGCATATAATGCGAATTCGTATATCGCGGCGAAAAAATTGCGACTGTATTCGTATAAAGACGCTAAAAGACTAGTAAAATGCGGTAAAACGTCATCGCCGACTCGTGTCGCAACAGGATTAGTCGAATCTGACCAATAGGCAATAGTGGACGAGTAGCCGAACTACTTACACGCTACAGAGAGTTTAGGCTGGTAAGTTGAGTTTACTAAAGTCTGTACAGTATATAAATTAGGTACCGTAAGTCTAATACAGTACTGTAATTTTATACATTTGTGGGATTAGCCGAGGATACTGACCAAGAGTACCACTTACATGACTCAGAATCGCGAGATTCGATCTCTAAACTTTTTCTAGGAGGGCTGTTGATATTAAATAGGATATAGACGGCAAAGTCTCTATCCAACGTCAGGATAATGACACCAGTTAATCACTTTTATATTACGCGGATTAACACACGTATTGGTCCGAGAAGGAGATGATGAAATGTGTTTAATTCAGATATCGAAGAGTCATTTCTTTAACACATATCACAAAAATTCAATGAACAAAATAAACTAAATAATACAAAATTAAATATACAAATAAAGAGATTTCAAGAACTTCGAATAAAACCGTTTCGAGACAGCTCACAATTTCTGTCATTAATCATACTACCTCTATGTATCTTTATCTTCTTCTGTTCTTTAGATAAATATGACTATTCTTTCTTCTTGGTCTATCATTGGCACATACTTAAATATTTTCTCCTTATTTACTGATTTAAAATCATTTTATAGAAACTTGTGGATTCGAATTTGGGCGTTAGCCTTCGGACGATGGTATGGAATACGTCTGTCTTCTATGAGATCTTCTGGAGTACTCTCAAATCATGGAAAATTCTTTCTTTTTCTCATGAATTTTCTCCAATCAGCATTTCGTATTTTTCCACGTGAACAGAGGAAAAGGTAATTTATCGAGGGGCGACAATTCTCAGGGTGACTAAGATCTTTAGTAGATAAGGAGAAACAAAAGGATGCTTCAACTTCCGTTGAAGGAAGTCGCTTTTTCCAGTTTCCTTTGTTTTAGAAAATATAATTTTCCCACCAAAATCAATGAATATTTTTGTGTAAAAATTTACTTTTTCTAATCAAATTTCTAATTAATTACATCGCATCTCACACATTTCTTGTGAAAAAGAACATTTCTTATTTAACGGCCATAAAAATTATTTCTATTAATTAATTAATGATGTCTCCAAAGTTCAACGACTTTTTCGCAGAAAAATAACTTATCAGAAAACGCACCTGCCGTTTGGTGCGCTGCTCCGCGACGGAAACAAGCTTAAGCAATGACGTCGTCGAACGGTGCACACTCGGTAAGTAACCCTACAATTTTTTGTTTATAACATAGTTTATACAGATTATTCCCAAAAAAATTATACATGTTTTGGAAATGTTGAATCAAACTAGTATACAATCGATTAATTTTATGGAAGAAAACTTTTCAAACAGCTGTAGCACGTAAACTGAACGCGTGCCGGGCTGTGATTGGCTCATGTATTTAAGGATTCCTACAACGCAAAATTCTTATAAAGAGAAACGTATGTACCGCGTTATAGGGGGTCGACTGTATGTATATATTTGATACCTTGACCTAGTTAACGTTTGTAAATTGTTTGAGTGGTAAAAATATAAACGATAAAATTGTTTATTATATTCTTGAAATAATAACTTTAAACAACTAATCAAATTAAATTTTTAATTATATTTTGCATAATATATCATATTAAAGAAAAAATTAAACACGCAACGAATACAGAGTACATCGCTGTTTCATAAACAGAATAATTTTAATGATATATTTTTGATTTCTCTTGTGAATCTATAAATTCCTGTCAATATATACTGTATATTTCACAATGTCATGCACACGAAAGGATTTGCAACTTTATCTTTTAAAAACAATACATTAAATTCAAAAATAAAATCTGTGTACATAGCTTTATTATAACATTAATAAACAATATGAATAAATTAGGGGTTTTATTTGAAAAGATTACTCCTAAGCAAAGAACTTCGTAATTATTCATAATTCAAAATTTTAATTATTAAAGAGAAAAAGTAATATTACATACCAGAGAAATATACGACAGAAAACACCAACTGTATCGAATGGGTTACTTTTCTCCTTCCTTTCCATTCTCATCTACACTTTTTTATACACTGCAGATGCAGATAAGAAATGCAGATGTACGCATCGATCTTACACATCTATTAGATAACATTTTTTATAATATTCATATTCAAGTGTAAAAGTTTAGCATTTTATTTGCGTTCAGAAAACCTTGAAGTTTCATGAAGAAGTTATATAAACATAAAGTTTTCTGCTGCGCTATCAAATATGATATTTCGTTAAAAAAGAATTATTATATTGTAATTATAAAATAGCAAAAACGGTGTACTTTGAAGGTTGTGATAGGTTCTTATCAAAATTCGTAAATACTATCAAGCAAAGAAGAATATGATTAAATTTGACCCAACTCCAGACACGACACGAGTTCCTTCTATCTTTGCACCTCGTTGTCGTATAACCACCGAAATTTAATGCAATGGATGTCCATTACATACAAGCTACCGTGTTAAATTTCGTTCCTTGATCATTACTTCATTCCTAAATATTAAACGAAATAGACGATTTAAGTTCAAGTTTAAGATTTAAGTTACATAGATCGATTAACTATTAGACACTGAAATAAAAATAATTCAAAAGCAAACGAATTCTGGAACATTTAGGCTAATTTTATTTTTACTCATTACCCTAATGCAAAGTATTGCTGGAATACATATTTACTATTAGAATTATATTAACGATTAAGATTTTCCGGGTGGAATTCATAAACAAAACTTATATTATATTATTTAAATTAATGTCATTCACTGTTCTTTAATACTTGAAAATTCAATTTATTTCTTAAATTAACAATTGAAAATATAGCTAAAATATTAACCCCTATACTTTCTGATTACTGTCAGTAATGTTTATCACAGTTTAATTCACAAATGTTTAGATATTATTAATTTTATGTTTTACTTGATGTGCGGAAATACTAACTTAATGTTTAAGAACTTGACTTAATATTTCTAAGAACAAAATTAAATAAAAAACTTAACACCGGATCTTTAAAATATGGATGTACATTGAAGACAATGTTTTATAGTTTTGTTTGTTCGACCGTTTCTTTAGCGTAATATTTCTCTTTGGCAATTTTGTATAATTCATTCATTGAAGTTACTCCCGTCTTCTTTACCAAATTATAAAATATACCATTTACGTTCTTCAGTAATGCATACGGCGAGTCAAATTCTTGTAGTTTCCCGGTATCTAGTACCTAAAATTTGAAAATATGTAATTAAGAAAGCATTTATTTTTATATTATTAAAAAAGGTATCTTACCAGCACTCTATCCGAATCGATGATTGTGTTTAATCTGTGGGCTATTGTCAACACAGTACAAGATTTAAATCTTTCTCGAATTATTTTCTGTAGACAGGAATCGGTCCTTAACAGAAAAAAAAATAAAATATTAATGTCAGTATAAAACACAAATACTGTATGAAAATAGTAAAATTGACTTCAAAATATCAATATCTACAACGTTTCATACAAACTCAGAATAATTATCATACCCGTGTTTTTTATTTTCCGTGTTTCAATTATAATAAATGTTAACAGGGATATTTTTCGATAAAAAATATCCCACAGAATACAAAACTTCCTGAATTAAACCAAATAGTTTATTACGAAATAGTGAAAACTTCTGGTGAAAACGGGCGTCAATCTTCTGCCCGCCATAGTGGTTCGAGGAGATAACTACACTTCACTCCATTTGTACCGGTGTATAAGAAGACGTTTTTGGATCGCATTTTTATATCTCACAATAATCTGAATGGCCGGAAGAGGAGTTATTTGCGCTATGTAAAGCTGCGTTAATTATAAAATACAAAGTGATGCCAAGTCGTTTTACAGATTCCCTAAAAAAACAAATGTAAGTAAATTAATAAGCAATTAGATTGTTTTAATTTATATTTAATTTAATTCCTTTTTTAAAATATTGTTATCATTGAACGTATGTGTTCATATTCATTTTAAGATGCACACAGTGTGTTATTAAAAGCAAACGATCCGATTTAGACAAAATTTTGAAAACGAAAGAGCCGGAATACTTAAATAGAAATTATGTTGTGTGTTACGACCATTTTATGGAAAAGGATTATCTTCAGAAATATCAGCATTATTTCGAAACAATTTTAATACAGTATATGTTTGTTACAGAGCCCGTATGCAATTAAAAGTGAGTTAATTAATTATTTCTTAACGAATGTAAATATTAAACGTGTTTCTTTCAATTGTGTTAAATTATCGGCAGATAAATAGTTCAAAGTCATTATTAAAGCGTATCTGACAAAAAATAATGATTCATCTGAAAGTTTTCTGAGAACAAAAATGTTAAAGATTTCACATATGTAATAACTGTATAATCCATTGCAAGTTTTGTTAGACTTTACATATTCTGCGGTGTTAGTGTACTCCTCGAATAGCTAGATGTCATTAGTTCGTGCTGTCGCCACTACGGTACATGCTAATTCACGAGAGTTTCTACTGTTATCGTATAAGCTATTTGATTAACTGAATTAATCGTTCGTAACACATGGGAGAATTTCCTAACCCCATTGCTTTCGGAAAGACTTTCAAATCGAAAGGTGAAATGGTTGAGGAATCGCGAATCCACAACCAGATGCAATGTTTATTAGCAGTGGCGTGCCGTTTTTGGAAGCGGTGGAAGCGCCGCTTCCAAAAACGGCGCTTCCACCGCTTTGTATTTTCTAAATTATAAATACATATCGCGAGATTATTTTCATATATTATAAATTTCGTTACATTAAAATATTTCATACTTTTATTCTGCTGTGCCATCTTATATTACAAACAGATTTAAATTTTAAAGTAGTGATATTATGAATCAGTATGTTCCATCAATAATGCATTAAAAAAATGTACAATTCTTGTACAATTTTGAAAAATTAACTGTTACTTTGGCAGCATCATTTAAAACTAAATTTAATGAATGAGACGCAAAAGGTTCAAAAAACTCCTAGAATTTGCATTTCTTAAATTTACGATTTTTGTACCCGTTGTCATAAAAATTTCTTTCTTCACTTCTTTCCCAAGACTACAAATATTCGAGTACAAAGTAACTGATTTCGACTTATTTCTACTTAAAAAGTAGTTAAATAATTAAGAGATTAGGAAATTGGAAACCAGGGCCGGATGCAATAGGTGCGAAACCCAATTGATTTTTTTTACGGGGTCCCTCAAACTTACAAAAATAAAATTAATTAACAGTTAATTTACATATTAAAATATAGATTTTAAATATTTATATAAAACAAAATCCGAAATCCAATTATAAAAATCAAAAGTCATGAATCATAAGGTAGACAAATTTCTACATTAGAAAATCCTGTACCAAATATAAAAACAACTATATTTTATTGAATATAAACATACATAGATATGTTTTAGTATTTCTATATTTTTAAATCAGGAGTGTCCAACCCGCGGTCCAATACAAGGAAAAAAATACCGGCAAAATTTTTAATTATTTATTTATTTAAACGGCATAAACCTAAAATCAAGTTTTGCAAAGTCGTAAACCAGGGGTGTCCAACCCGCGGCCCGCGGGCCGCATGCGGCCCAAGGCAAGTTCCAATGCGGCCCAATAAACGTGTAAACAAAACCTACAAATGTTTTAATTTTTTATTATTTATTTATTTCAATGGCATAAACTAAAAAAAAAAGTTTCACAAAGCCTTTATTCATATTTTATTTTTGAGTGGAAAGAAAATATTTCAAATACTTGGAGATGTGTGAATGCGGAAGGATTACTAAATAAAGCTGGAGTTGTGTCTCAAAGAATTATATACCCAAATTTGGGAAAAGGAGGGAAAGATGAGAAAGGACAAAAGATGTAGTAGTGAGAAAGGTTAAATAGATCTTCTGTTAAGCAAATATGGACCCATAATTTTTCAACCTTTTTCACTTCTTTATCTTTTGTTTTTTGCCTCTTTTTTCCGCACTTGGGTCTATAATCCTTTGATTCACAGCTCCAGCTTTATTTAGTATTTCTTCCAACGTTGCGAGATTTGGCTACATTGGGCCAAATGTGGCTACTTTTTTTGGTTTGACGTAAAAAATATCATTTGGCGCTTTGGCTACTTTTTCGGTTACATATTATTTATAATTATATAAATTGAATAAAAATGCACTTCAAAATGGTGGTTCGTCGTTTTTATTAATTAGAGACACAAATAAAACAAATATTTGTGTTTTTCAAATAAATTTTCGTTTGTTTCTTTTACAATAAATGAATTTATCTATTTCTAAGTAAAAATTGAAAGTGTCTGTAGAAGTAATTTTTTAACATATTTTTTTTCTTGATAAAGTTATAATATTTATTATTATTATCTACACATGTTAGTCCTTAAATATACTTGTATATTCGGCCACAAGTATATATTATATATACTTGTGGCCGAATATTTAAGGAAATTACAAGTATATATTATATATACTTGTGGCCCAAAACTCCTTGACTTCTTCCAATGCGGCCCAGAGAAACAAAAAGGTTGGACACCCCTGTCTTAAACATTTGTACATATTTTATGTTTTAATAGAAAGCAGTGGCGTAGCATTGTGGGGGCGGCAGGGGCGACCCGCCTAGGGCGGCACTTTTAGGGAGCGGCAAAATTTCACAATAAGTAATAATAATATCTTGTAAAAATTTGAACCATTTCATTTCATATTTTTGTCGCACCTACAATTCGGACCGATTGAAATGAGCACGGAATTTTTCACTACTTATTCTGTGACGAAAGTGAATTTTAGTCTTTTAAATTGAGATACCTAAATAAGGAGGCGGCGAAATTTTCCTCCGCCCCGGGCCGCCGACACCCACGCTACGCCACTGATAGAAAGGAAATATTTTCAAATACTCGAAATGTGTGAATGAGGAAGGAATATTAAATAAAGCTGAAGTCGTGACTCAAAGGATTATAGCCCCAAATTTGGATAAAGGAGAGAAAAGCCAGAAGATAAAAAGAAGTGAAAAAGGTCGAAAAATTAAGAATCAATATTTGCATAACAGAAGGTCTATTTTTAACCTTTCTTACTTCTTTATTTTTTGAGCTTTCTCTCCTTTCCCTAAATTTGGGTCTATAATCCTTTGAATCCGAACTCTAGCTTATTTAATATTTTTTTCAGCTTTGAAAGATTTGGCTACTTTGCTACAAATTTGTCTACTCTGTTTGTAGTTTGGCGTAAAAAATATCGGCTACATTTTGGTACATATTATTTATAAATGTATTAGTTGAATAAAAATGCACTTTAAAATGGTGTTTCTTTGTTTTTTTATTAATTAAAGACCCAGATACAACAAATATTTGTGTTTTTCAAATAAATTTTTGTTTTTCTCATTTATAATAAATAAATTTATCTATTTCTAAGTAGAAATTGAAAGTGTCTGTAGAAGTAATTTTTTAAAATATTCTTTTTCGTGATAAAGTTTTAATATTTATTACTGGACAAGTATATTGCGACCCAATCCTTAAATATACTTGTATATTTAAGGATTCGGCCACAATATACTTGTGGTCCAGAACTCCATTACTTTTTCCAATATAGCCGAGAGAAACAAAAATGTTGGACACCCCTGCTCTATAATCACATAATTTCAAAAATAAAAAATGTTCAAAACTCATTATCATTCAACGCTTCATTCAAACTGATTATCATTCAACGCATTTAGCAATGAGTCTGTAATGTCTTTCTGAGCATTCGGATTAATGTAAGGGCATTGCTATTATTTACTGATTTCTGTTGAAATTCGACAAAGTATCAATGACTTTTAGAAAGTCATTTACTTTTCAGTGGTCCAAACACTTGTGGAGAAAAATGGATATTTCAGAAAGATAATTCTGTTTTTCTCTCATTACAGTATACAATGATTGATTTAAATCTAACGGAGTTTTACTTTTATTTTAGAGAACTATATTATTTACTAATAATTCTGCAAAAAATTTATTGGAGATTCCTGTACGTGCGGCATAGAAAGATGGAGAGCATTACAAATGTATAAGTCTGACCATTAGATAGAAGTTCTTCTGAACTGTAAAAATATAACTGCGATAACTGTAACAACATTGATTACATCAACAAAGAAGCATTCTCTTGCCTTTGTAATAAATAACGGCTGCCCTATAAAGTAGTACATTCTTTATTTTCCATGAGTATTGTCTTTATACAAGTATTTATGTCAAAGTAATGCATGTATTGAGTACAAAAAAGATTTTTCTTTTCCTGTAATTACTGTCTCCAAGCAATAGCTGACAGACTTCCTAAAAGCATATTTCAAATAATATTTTATACAAAATCGTTAGTACAGTTTACCTACATACCGTATGATTATATCAGTGTTAATTATAATTGATTTTATCAACGAAACCAACCTTTTGTGTAGCACTGAGCCTGGTAATAGAATTCTGGAAGGCTTGCCTAATACATACATTGGCAGATTTGTTGAAGAAGAGACAGATAGCAATCAATTTCAAAAACACTGATTACGCTTATTGAGAGCAACTAAATATATGACAGTCTACAGCCGAAATATACAACAAACCTGTATTTGCAAGTGTCTGTTACACAGAGATTGGTCAATATCAGTTGAACTACAGAAAAGAATAGTTCTAAGAAAAAAAAAACAGATTTACGTCTCTCATCCCACTAGATAGTACCACGTTACCTACCTCTTTGATTGCCTCTGCTGTGTCTGAATGCCCGAGCTTGTATCGATTTAAAGGATATTCCATTTCCTTTCGTTAACATATCAGCAGTTACGCTCAACTTGTTCCTCTCATCCTATCGAATATTTAAAAAATTTATGTAACTATTTTAAATATGTTTTTTGTCGTGTCAAATACCTCACCGACGTTATGTTTCAGACACAGTTCCCTCAGTCCACATTCGACAAAATCTCAAATGCAACTGTTTTTAACGAGCGACTCCAATTTTTCCAAGACTTTCCCACTTGAATGCGAACTGATTTTATTTTATTATTCTTGTATTTCTTATTTCTTAGTTTAGTTAACTTTATTTATTTACTTTACTTTAGTTTCGTTTAATTTAAATTGTCTATTACACTTTTTTTTATCTGTACTTTTCATCATACTTTTTTCTTTTCTCAACAATAAATTACTTATACTCTGTCATCTGTGACGTATTAGTGCTAAAACTGCTCGCCCAGGCTAATTACATCGATAAACATCGTCTGAAGTTTTTCGAGTGTCCTACATAACCCCAAAATATTGATTTAATTTCTGTATATCAATTAACTTTTACCTACGTCAGATTTACTGGCTATACACGTAGTGCCGACTGTTAGAAAAACAAAATTTTAAATTAATAAAGTAAATATTATTCATATAAAAAGTAATAATTTTAAAATAAAGAAATTTTGTATTCAGTTAATTAGTTTGTGAACTGACCAATAAACTGACAATTTCAAATCTCGCAGAAAACTACCATCAATTTCGCGACCGCTGTGCTAATACTGTGACAGATAGCAAGTGGTATGCAGGTGCTTTGAGTCGAAAGTGTCACACTGTAACAAGTTATATTAGTATTTGGCATTCAAACTGTAACAACCTAATTAATTTCTGTCTACATCAGTGTAATAAGTGCGACAACCACACGACATTACTTGTTTCTTCATTGAAATTCCATTCAATATTTATTGACTTTTAACTATTGACTTACAACGAAAGTTTCAAGTAAATACAGTATCAAAAAGTAAAAAAGAATAAAGAAAAATTGCGCTATACAAAAACGCAATATAACGAAAAATGGCAAATTTTATATATATAATCCTAATTTTATAATATATCGTAAAAGCTTATCCCATTTTTAACTCGAAGTATGTAAACAAAGGATAATTAACACATACAATTGAATTTGTCATGTCAGGAAAACGTCTTTACATTTCCAAGTAATTACTATTATTTTTTTCTGTTAAGGTCTAGTTGTTACATATAAGAACGCGAATATTTTTCTTTGTGAACAGAATTTTAAAAAAAATTAATAATTTTGTATTTGAAACCGGGTGTAACAAACTAGTTAAATTATAAACCTGGATAATGAAGCTTTCTTAATGCCTGATTCTTTTTCACCTATAGATATAAAAGACCTTTACATTCATCCTCATTTCGAGCCAAACCCAAACGAGGTTGAACATATTTTGACATTTTCGTGCATAATATATTTTTCAGTGTTGCTCAGAATTTCATTCCAGATTCCCAGGGCACCACACTGCATATCGTCCATCTGATTATTGACATAACATTTATCTAATCATCCTGAATATGAACAGTCTTAAGCCTGGACTCAACATTGCCCGAAAACATAAACTCAGAAACAGAACTCAAACGTAGAGCTTTTGTTTCAGTTATGTTTTCGTTTTAACTTGACTCCACTAGAAATGTGCCATCTGTTGATCAGTTGTGTAATTGAAGTATATTCAAACATGGAAGACGCTACGGATTTTGCCATGCTTTCTCTGCACAAAAACGTACACACATCTGTATTTTCTAACTTGTTTGATGAAGAATTCCAAATCTATTTGTTTCCTCATTCTTTTCGCTACACTTTCCGCCATTATGACAATCAAACTACACGTGACTAATGCAAATGACTACGCGTCACAAATCCTTGCGTTTTTGTTGTTGCAGTACGACGGAAGCGCGGAACGAAAACGGAAAGGTTAAATAATTTTTAACTCCTCTTTCAGTCTTGTTTCTGTCCAACTGAACGTTACAAAACTAAAAGTTTTTTCTGTTAGGCTTTTAGTTTTACGATTACGTCGCGGATTCCAGTAATGTGGAATCCAGGCTTAATTTGAAACACCATCATCTACGTTACGGTATTTTACTGCGATTTTCCACGTTAAAGTTGGGAAATGGTTATACTACGACTCGATTGACAGCTATTTATACCTAATTTCACGATTTACTTATAAATTTTTAATTTGAAAAGTAATGTGAGTAAAGTAAGTTTATACTTAATTATTAATAATAATTGAAAAGATCACTAACCAAAACACAAAGACACAAGTATCTAAAAGTTTGCAAAAAGTTATAATCGTTGTCTACGCAACACAAACTAAAAACAAACTTAATTTATATTATGACAGTGTTCTTCTTAAATTACAGGAGTGAGTAAATAAACTATCATATATAAAACCTTTTAAACCAGTAATTTATAACTGAAATTAGATAATATTTTCTATTTCACGTGTTCTAACCTTTTATCGATATTGGACGTTGCTTCGTCCATGACGAGAATTTTATTCCGGCGAAGAATGGTTCTGGCCAGACAAATTAATTGTCTTTCTCCCACGCTGAAATTTCTCCCTCCTTCCGTTAAGTGCGTATCCAATCCTCCAGGTAATTTACTAATAACTTCTTTTAACTGTACCTTTAATTCAGANATCAATCCTCTTATCGCATCTGCTCTGTATCCTAGACTTCTGGCCATTTGCAATATTCTGTTGATCTCCTTCCGTGTATCAACTACACTACTACGATACAGAAAGGCCCTTCTAATGAGAGCTCGGAAGGTAAGGATATAGGTAAGGACCATTTGAGTGTGACGGGATTAAAGCGGGCTATGCGTCGGTTTGACGTACACACTAGTGATCAAATGCCCTTCTTTGAATTCAATATTTATTTATAAAAAATGTACTTTTGCGGAACCTTTCTGTGACCAGAGGGTAGACCCAGACTGGTGATACCTATGTCAGGAATGACACCACTGTGTCCTTTAAAGCAGACAGAAAAACCAGTAGGCTGCAGTTTCGGTTTTGCGCGAGCAGTCACGCATGAAGACACAAGGTGTCCGTGATGAAGACGGCCCGAAATACAATGCAGCAGAGAGAAGTGCACAATACAACTTTGTTATAACGAAAAATAATACCCCTTTATTTTTTGTAATCTATTTAAACATATGTTTACAATGTCATTCCGTTTAACTTTTATATATAGCGGCAAAATAGATGAACTGTAGTAGCGGAACATACCGGATAAGGCTGATATAGGGTAACATAATCTATTGGACATTATACTAGTAAATATGGAGTTCCCAGCCGAGAGAGCTTACATTATTTTGCGTGATGCTGAATACCTTAATAACATGATTTTTGGATCGATAATTAGATCGTTGATAAAATTCGTGTTCGTTATGCCGGCTTGTCATGTTCTTGGATCAATAAGTTCGAATTTTCGGGGAACAGCACTTGTATTAAAGCATTTTAGATAAGTTTGAACTTCCAACGATTCAAATCGACTGCTAAGATATTAAAGAATTAATATAATTTTCATCTTCTGATTTTAATTAATTACGAAATTGGTAAAATGTCATTAATTCGGAACATGAAGAATCAGGATATCGCCAGATTTCATAGAGACAGAGTTATACACTTTTCAGCTGTAATTGTTAGAATTCTGAAGACAGTTAAATTTATCGGATATAATTAATTAATTAATGCTCTTACTCCATTTAAATATAGTATTATTATCGTTACCGCAAATAAAGAAACTTTATTGTTTTGAGCCAATCATTTTCGATTTCATCCGTAAGTGAAATCAGTATTATAAGTGATATTAATAGACAAAGAGTAATTTTAAAGAATAATTGCTGTTAGTGTATAATTGATTTTCATTAAAATTACATGGTTTTTTTTATAAAAAGTAAATTTATTCATTAACATATTTTCTATTAATAATCAATATAAACTTTTATGTAGATTCTTGTGAAGAAATATGTAAAACTGTTAATCTAAAGATCACATTTTATATAGAAATGCAAATAGGTAACAATTAAAGAAACTCACTCAGCAATCACTTAGCAAATAATATACTACACAACTATACCTTAAGATGCCAAGAAAATTTTTTTTAAACGTAACTAACGTTTTCGGTCTATTGAATAGGCAATCTTCAGATTATCGAGAGAAAAATAAATGTTCTAAAAATAGACTGTACAAAATTCCGTATATATTCATACATGTATATATATATATATATATATACATGTATGAATATATACTAAAATAACAATAATCAGATATAATATTATAAATCATGTAATAATATCGTATATAAAAGACCAGAAATGTAAAAATGTAAATAATTAATACATAAGTTCGGAGATCTTAAAAAACTTTTCAAGTAAGTACACCCACGCAAATGGTAGCCCTTCTGCGCCCCTTGCATTGATGCACGTATCTAAAGCGTAGAAAAGACTTATAAGGACAAGCTACAGCTTGCCCTTATAAATCTTTTCTGCGCTCTTCGCTAAACTCGAAAGTTCACGGTCTTAACGTTATCTGCTTCGCCCATTTCACTATGGAGCCTTCAGCCTGCACTATTTGAAATAATGCAGTGGCATTGGATCTCTCATTGACACTATATTTGTGTTTTTCAGACTGATTCCCAAATTACTTTTAATAACAACTATATAGTTTTGCTTGATTCCTAATTCCTTGTTTTCGTAAGGAATCACGTACACTCCTGCTTTCCTACTTTATTAATGTTGTCCTAGTTATTCCTTAATTTCTTATAGAGGTTTGGAGCTCTTTTCAAAATCATTTTTGACTTTATGCAGTTTGAAATTTATTTCACGATGGCTTTCGTACTTCTATCGTACGTGAACTTTGTGATTTTACCGATACCGCCGCTTGGAGTCTTTATTGTGCCCATTTTGTAACTTGTAATCAATCCTCTTATCGCATCTGCTCTGTATCCTAGACTTCTGGCCATTTGCAATATTCTGTTGATCTCCTTCCGTGTATCAACTACACTACTACGATACAGAAAGGCCCTTCTAATGAGAGCTCGGAAGGTAAGGATATAGGTAAGGACCATTTGAGTGTGACGGGATTAAAGCGGGCTATGCGTCGGTTTGACGTACACACTAGTGATCAAATGCCCTTCTTTGAATTCAATATTTATTTATAAAAAATGTACCTTTGCGGAACCTTTCTGTGACCAGAGGGTAGACCCAGACTGGTGATACCTATGTCAGGAATGACACCACTGTGTCCTTTAAAGCAGACAGAAAAACCAGTAGGCTGCAGTTTCGGTTTTGCGCGAGCAGTCACGCATGAAGACACAAGGTGTCCGTGATGAAGACGGCCCGAAATACAATGCAGCAGAGAGAAGTGCACAATACAACTTTGTTATAACGAAAAATAATACCCCTTTATTTTTTGTAATCTATTTAAACATATGTTTACAATGTCATTCCGTTTAACTTTTATATATAGCGGCAAAATAGATGAACTGTAGTAGCGGAACATACCGGATAAGGCTGATATAGGGTAACATAATCTATTGGACATTATACTAGTAAATATGGAGTTCCCAGCCGAGAGAGCTTACATTATTTTGCGTGATGCTGAATACCTTAATAACATGATTTTTGGATCGATAATTAGATCGTTGATGAAATTCGTGTTCGTTATGCCGGCTTGTCATGTTCTTGGATCAATAAGTTCGAATTTTCGGGGAACAGCAACATTGGACAGGAGCGACGGTCAAAGGGAACAGCCATAGAGAACAGTTACATTACACTTTCTTGGGAACAGAACAGAGTCGATCAACTCTCGGACTTCCAACGACCTTCTTGTCCTCGACCTTCGTCTTATATTGGGGATCCTCCCCCCTTTGGTTTCGATTCCTTCATTTTAGCCATTTTGAATCAATGGTGATTACTTCAAGTTAGTTCCCGGTGACACATTTTATGAGTCCCCTGGGAAAGGCAGACACTCCGGGGAGAGAGATGTGATCATACTCTGGTAATTAAATTGAAAATTTCTTTTTCGCTGGGATTCACCTTACCAATAAACTCATTGATTTTTTGATCATTCCTCCACAGTAGAAAGTCTTCTTAATTTTAATTCAACAATAGGGTTTTTGTCGCCTCTAGCAAAGTGTCGCCCGAGCGGGAGGAGCTTAACTTAACAGCGGCGTAGCGTAGGGGGCAAAGACCCCCTTTTTTAAACTCTTTCCGCCCTGTGGGCTCTAAGAGGGCATCTTTTTGCAAGCCCATTATGGATTCGGCCAGGCCCACAATGGGGCTGCCGGGTGGTGAGGGACGGGGCCCGACATATCCGAACGGACCACCCCCCAAAAAATTCCTGGGGATTTTTCGACCCGCTCGGATTCGAACCCGGGTCCCCCAGAGCGGTAGGCTGCCACCTTGACTGCTCGGCCATCCGGCAAAGGCCCCCTACGCTAGGCCACTGTTAAGTTCTGTTGGGTCCACAACAGCGAGGTACAAGAAAAGGGAAAAAACGCGAAATATCTAGAACAGACCCCCATGACATATTCTTGTGTACTTTACTTTGTTCTGATTCGATCCCTGGTCCATGCAATAGTAGGTTGACACCTACAGAGTTTAACAATCCAGATAAAGTACATCGACGAACAATATATTTTAAAAATTAAAATTTTACGAATGAAAAAAAGAAAAACATATTTACATAAAAAATATGAAAATTATAAACCACGAATTATGTTAACCGAATTAATGTTTATTTACTTGAGGAATGATGGATATTTTACTACGTAGATCTCGAAGACCGATTTCTTTGGTGTCGATTCCATCGATGATGATTGTTCCCGTTGGCTCTGTCATGAGAAATAACGAAGCAATTATAGAACTCTTTCCAGCTCCTGTTCTCCCAACTATTCCTATCTGCACTTAATAAATAAAAAACACCATTTTACACAATAATTACTAACAATGCTCTTCTAATTTGCAAACGTTTTACCTTTTCTCCAGAGTCAATATGAAAAGTCAAATTCTTTAGAACGATGTTTTTATCCTCGGAGTATTGTAAACAAACATTATCGAAATGAATTTCTCCTCTTTGTGGCCAGTCTAAGGGGGGTCGTTTTTCGGGCAAACTTTCGTACGAAGCTTCTGATTTCAATTTGCTGTATTTCAGAATGCGCTTTACCGAGTTCATCTGGAAAATTTTCATTTTATGAAGTAAAACAGACTATAAAACTTGTTGAAGTAACAAGATATATTATCCGAGAATATATATTATGAGGAGATTATATTATATGCAGAACCTCAATGAGACAAACGATTGGAATATTTTCTTCGAAGTGGTGGGGTAAACATCTTTAGATTTGTTGTTGTGTATGTTAAACTTTAAATACAACAAGAAATCTAAAGGTGACACCAAATTGAAACCTTAAATTGAACACTCAAATTGAAACCTTAACAATTAAAGTTTCAATTTGGTGTCATCTGAATGAATTTCGAGCAGTAATTTTTTGAGAAGCTGAGAATTGGTTGTTTTTAAAAAAATGTTGAAATATAGATACTTCGCAATTGTTGACAAGACTATACAGTAGACCCTCCCATAATGCAAAGATACGTTCTTCGTTATTCGAATTTCACGTTGTAGAAATCCTTAAATACGTGAGCCAATCACAGCCCGACACGTGTGAAGTTTACGGACTAAGGCTGTTTGAAAGGTTTTCTTCCATAAAATTAATCGATTCTAGACTAATTCGACTTAACATTTCCAAAATACGTATAATTTTTTGGGAATAATCCGTATAAACTATGCTATAAACAAAAAATTGTAGGATTACTTACCGAGTGTGCACCGTTCGACCAAGCCATTGCTTACGCTTGTTTTTGTCACAGAGCAGCGCACCAAACGGCGGCCGCGATTTCTCATGCTATTTTTCTGCGAAAACTTCGTTGAACTTTGGAGATATCATTAACATAAATCATTTTTATGGCCGTTGAATAAGAAATGTTTCTTTCACAAGAAATGTATAAAATTACAGTACTTTATTAGACTTATGTATTCAATACTTAATTTACATACTGTACAGACGATAATAAACTCAACTTACTCGCCTAAACTCTCCGTAGCGTGGCGCTAGACGGTGGAAAGTATATATGTTACTGTGAAAGACCGAAATTAGATAATGTCGATATTCTCCGAATGTCGACACATACAGAATACGTCGGTGAAAGACCGAATAGTTGGTTATATTATTATACATTCGAACAATCGCTGGTGTATGTCGACAAGCACAGATAAGCTTTGGTGGATGTCGAAACACCCGAAAAGCCGATGCCGAGAGAGAGGCGACAGTCTGTCGCCAAATCCTTTGTGGGTAGTCAGAGGTAAGACAAGGTCGTACCTCTTTTCCCGGCAACGGTTTGGTGAAAATCGCCCACTTTGTACACTAAATGGTGTTTTTGTTCTTTTGATCCCGTGAGGTGGGGATCGGTTAGTCAGGTCGAATGGCGGAGGATGAGAGGGGTCGTCGGTAAGGCGTCGGCAATATCCAAATAAAGGAAATCATTAACAGATCAGTTCGTAATCACGTAATAACGTAATCAGTTCGCAATTTGTAAAGAAAAGTTACTTTTCATAGATGAGATTTCTTCTCAAGAAATATCGCCTTACCCTCCACTTTTCGGATTCGAAAAGTGGAGAGTATACAGGGGAGTCTACTGTACAGGGGGGCTATACAGTAGACCCCCCTGTAACACTGTAGATAATACAAATACTGTATAACACTGTAGATTTTACAAATACGTGAGCCGTTCACAGCCCGGCACACATATTTGTAAAATCAAAGTGACTCGCACAACATGACATTCATATAACACGGAATTATCTACAGTGTTATAGGGGATCGACTGTGCCAGCTGTTATTGCAAAAAGAAGTGTTCCACGAATAAATACAGTTGTAAAAGCAAGGGACTCAAAGTGCCATAACAGTTTAAGTTATTGCAATAAATATGATAGTACAACGTCAATCACATTATGTGTAAGTTTATTATTGTATTATTTTCTTTAATGATTTGGAACGTACTGTTCATTTTAATTTCAACAGTTTATTTACATGTGCTATTACTTAAGCTTTCTCCTATTTTGACATACTAAAATGTTGTATTTTTGTCTTAAGCCTAACGAAGACTATTGTATGGTTAAAAATTATTTTTTTATTTTGTACAAACAAAATTAAATATATTGACAAATATAAAAACAATAAAAAATTATTCTTCAGATGTTAATTTAGTATCAAAAACGTAAAATATTTGAGTAGCCCAAGAAATAGCCGAAGATTGCAGCGCCACAGCACTAGCGAAAATTTAAATTTGCTGACTGGAATGCTTTCGGACAACCAGCTTTCGGATAAACGACACTCTACTGTTATTTATATATAATACTGTACAGACGATAGTTAAACTCAATTTACCCGCCTAAGCTCTCTGTAGCGTGGCGCTGGACGGCGGGAAAGTAGTTTGGCTGCTTGTCCGCGATGACGAGTTCACGATGACGTTATACCGCGTTTTAACGCGTCCCTTTTAGCTGTCGCAATTTTTTCGCCGCGTTATAGGAATCTACGTTATTGGAACCTGCGTTATAGGGGGTCCACTGTATTTTGTCTATAAAATCGCGCTGCTGTCAACGATTGGGCACTTTAGAGGTATGAAGGAATACAGATCAAGAGTTTCAATTTGTTACAGAGTGTTAGATGCCCAAATCATGCGCACATAAAAAAAACAGACTTGTAGGAAGTCAGGGAACCGAAAACCGGGTCAAAATAAAATACATAATGGCGACACTATTTTTACAAACAGGCAAAAGTGCGAGATTTGCGTATATGTTGCTCGTTGGTAAGTTGAAAATGCGAAATCGAATATTCACAAACGTGTGACACACGTTACGAATGTATTCTCTCGCTCTCGTCGTTTCGCAGGATGAAACAATTCGTATACAAATATCTTCCCACTTTTCGTAGCCAAAAACCTACCCGTGACAACGCGACTAGTCGTAACCACGGCGGCAACAAAGCCAACTGTAATCTACGCAAGGACCCCGAGTACGGATGTTGGCTTTTCCTCATTGGTTAGTGCTCATTTTCTATTTTCTTTAGAAAAAGGAGCGCAGTCGAGCCTTAAGTCTCCAAGACATAGTTTTTTCCCCAAAATGGCCTTGCCGTTTTACATGTTCTAAAAATGATTTTGACAAATTTATACGATAATCGAGTTTTTTAAAGAAAACTCGCCGTTCATTTCTGAACTATGAATGGGCAAAAATTAAAGTGAGTTTCTTGACTTCGAGAAAACTGCTGTCTTCTAGTAATATACATACACTGGTGCTAAACATAACAATTAACTATTAAATGATTAATAACTTTTTAAACAAATAATACCAGAATTATCAAACCAACACCCGAATTCACTTATTAGACTTTATTATATATGTATTTTTTTACCAAGTATTTTCCTTTCCTTTCCAAGAAGTTTACCTTGTTCGAAAAATTAGATATGGTCCGATAAGGCTGTTCGTTTGATATTTGGTTTAATTACCGGATTGATTAGATACGCAATACCTGAAATTCCATTTCAGATGTAAATGCAACAAAGCTTTGAATATTCGTAATTATTAGTATTCCGTAATTTAATAAAAGTCCAATTTTGCTTCCTGCGTCACCTAAATCAGCAAATATTAATTAGAAAAATATTTATATTATAGATTTCAGACATTTAAATATATTCACCCACCTGAATTATTTGAAACAGCGAAAATAATAACAGTAATAATTAGATTTATAAAAGAAATTATGTGACCGTATATGGCAATCCATCGAACTAAACACACGTAAATAAACAATATTATAGACTTCAGACATTTAAATATATTCACCCACCTGAATTATTTGAAACACCGAAAATAATAACAGTAATAATTAGATTTATGAAACAAATTATGTGACCGTATATGGCAATCCAGCGAATTAAACACACGTAAATAAAAAACGTTGAAGTATGCTTATCCTGATACTTATTAAACATGGATTTAAATCTGCTTTCAGCTTTAAATGCTCTAATTGTCGTCAGTCCGTAAAGGGATACACTCAGATGTGAAAATACTGGACTTCTCACTGTCAAAAGAAATTTGTTTATATAATTCAAATATTTTACAAGGTTTGCATTATAGAATCGAATCATTTTACTTTTTATATATAATAATTATTCACTTACTACATTTAAGAAAGCACCAGAACATATTAACCTATGTTTAACAAACGACTGATCAGAATTGCATAGAACTTAAAATGCGAGCAGAACATTGTACTATTTATGCAAAACAAGAACTTAAAAAGAAGACATTCTTCTTAATCGAGGATGTTCAATTCATTGTCCTCCGGTCTCACTGCAACCCATTTTATATTTTGATGTTGCCTATTGCATCCTAAATTTTTTTAGGTTCATTTTCATTTATTTTTGTAAAGTATGCCTTAAAAATTATTTTCGTTTCACTGATAACACTTTCATGTTATAATGACAAAATTGGTGTCATAATACATACATGACCAATCGAAAATGTTGCTGGCGTTTTCTGTCATTTTGATTGTTTCAGTTTCAAAGATTTTTTAAATAAAGTAACGTTGTCAGTAATAAGAAATAGACACCTTTCATCAGGCGAATAAAAAAAGACACATTCCCTCTTTTCAGAAAGTGTCAGCCATTTTTAGTGACTTGAAGCTAGGCCGAATGCCAAAGTGGAAAGGGCTAATCTCTAAAGAATAAATTAGACATTTTCACTTTGGCATTTTTTATAATTACAGGTATGTAATACAGACATCGGTCTATCTATGTATTACTTTTGCTAACGTAATAATTTAAATATTCAACTGCCAATTATATTCAAAAATATTTCATCAACCTTAAATTCATATTTTTTATAACACAGAATTTGGTTATGGCATATTGGTCAAGACAAGAGAAAATTCAATAATTTTTTGCCAGAAAAATATTTCGTTATTTAAAGATGTTATCTGCGTTATTTCCCATGATAAAATTGCCGTATGGAAATTGCGTATTTTCAGAGTTTATTAACTCGTTGAACTTAAACGCAAGGAATCTTTCTTTGAAAACTTATCATAGAGAACATTGTTTCCTTAAATTTTATAAACAAGTACATTCTTACAATGAATTTAATCAAATTTTCAATTTATCTAAAAAAACGGTTATGCACCTGGGGTAGTACATACTGTTGTAAACAATTCTTTTCGTTCATGAAAAACATCAAAATTGTTGAAAAAAATAAGTCGATTGATTTCCATTTAACAAACATTATTAGAATTAAGACAAGTTCCAAAAAGCAGATATAAATGATATTTTAAACGAAAGACAATGTCAAAAATAGCATTGAACTCATTTTTATTTTGTGTAATTACAATTTATTTTATTACTGTCAACAATACAGTATATGTAACTATATATAATTGCTATTAAAATTTAATACTAACATTTTAAACTTTTTAAAAACATATATTTATATATAGTACTTTGTCGTCACAGAATATACCTAAATTTCTATTTTAGCACACGAGAAAAACAAGTTGGCCAATCTTCCACTTAAATGATGTAGTTTGCTTTAGGTTGCTATCTCAAACCAAAGCAAGAAAAAAGTAGTAAACATTGTCCTAATACTTTCTTGCAGAAAAAAATTACCAATATGAGACGTGCTTGATTTCCACGTTTCACACCAACTGTTCACAATTAGGAGTATAATAAAGTTCCCAAAGTGTTCTTGGTGGAGGCTAACCAGTTGCAGCTTGTCAATCGCAGCATTCCGTGACTCTATGTATTTTCATTTAAATATCATTCTACGTGACGAATATGTTTACTGCCAAAAATACAGCAACAACTCGCATGAGTTTCTGTTGACAAATCGTTATTTTTCTGAAACGCTAAGACACTTCCTCACAGTTACAATTATTGTGAGATTTTATAAAAATACTTTTATATTATGAAATGTTATAAAGTGGCAAAACGCTTAATTTTCAGAGTAGAAATAAAGTTTTAAAACATTGTAAATGCTAATAACGATCAAATTTGCATTAAGACTCCACACTCGATATGCTACATCCGACTAAATTATCTTCCAACCACTCGACTTTAAGTACTAAAATATAATACCATGAATGACTCTTGTGTACAAATTACCATCCTAAATTATGTTTTTTAAACAGTACCTCATTCTGAGAAGTTACTCCACCGTTCAAATTTTGCAAAGTACTTTGTGGGCTTTCTTAATCATTTTTGATTGAAAAAAAGTGTAGAATGCAGTAATTTCGACATTATGCACTATAGCATTTGAGATAACTTTCCTCCTGTGTTTATAGATGAGGATATTCATAAATGCAACAACGAATAGCCCGTGCTCGTTTATTCATAAAACACACATTATATAAAGCTGACAGTTTTCTAAGTATTAATCTGTCTCGCATATTAGGAAACATCTTGTTTACTTCCCACTTTTGAACAACTTATTATTTTCCCATAATATTTTGAAATTCTCACTTATAACGGCAAATTCGCATTTCCGTATATCTTCAGTTTACAAAACAATTTCTCGCTACAATGCTGTAATATACTACTTGTACAGTTTCATTTTCTTTGTTAAAATCAAATGTTTGGAAAAATTCTAAAGTGAATTTGTGTGCAATGTTCAATTTCAACGCTTTAAAAAGATCTAGGCATTACAATAAATTTCCTGTATGCCTAATTGGTTAAACTGTTCTTCCTTAAAAAGCGCTTTTATTTCGAACTCTCAACAGAATAATATTTGTAATATACATGATAATTGTCCGTCTTTTAAAAAATTTATACAGATTTTTCTAAGAGATTATTACATCTAAACTCGCAGAAATGCCTGTAAATTGTTATAACGTTTCCTGTATATACATTACATCTGTTTATCTAAATCAAAGATAATTTACTGTTTCATTCCTTGTCGTTGATAATCTGTAGGATTACGTAAAAATTTGTAATTATATACAGTATTCAAATTAAGTAATATTTTTAAATTGACTTCAAGCAAGTAAACAGATTATGAATTACAATTTCTTCAATTATTCTGTATAATTTTTCATAAACATTTTAAATCTGTAATTGTAATTCAACCTATTTTCTAACTAAACACACTCAAGAGAACCTTTAAATATGCAGCCGTATTTATTAAATTCTAACGTTTTCGGTCATATTCAATGTCCTTTCTCAAGAAAAAAAACAGAAAAAATCGAACTCCGAACTTGAATTAACGATACAAGCATTTTGGAACGTTTAAAAAAAATTAAAAACGTTCCAAAACGCTTGTATCGTTAATTCAAGTTCGGAGTTCGATTTTTTCTGTTTTTTTCTTGAGAAAGGTCATTGAATATGACCGAAAACGTTAGAATTTAATAAATATGGCTGCATATTTAAAGGTTTTCTTGAGTGTGTTTAGTTAGTAAGAAATTGCAGTCTACGATGAATCAACCTATTTTCTTTTATAATGTAAGTGATTGTCTGGCAGTTAGGAATAAGAAATATAAAACATTGGATATAAAGGTCATTATGTAATAAGGTTTTGACACAAGTAAAACCTTTCTCTTGTGTACAAAATTAATACATCTTTTATCACATGATTTTTAGGAAAGTGCATAGCTAATAAAATAAAATAAAATAAATGATTTGATTATTTTGCATTGTAACTTTGCATCTTAAAATTTTTAACGAGTCTGCAACTCTGTTCATAAATTTCATCACTAAAATTCTGAATGAAATTAAATTCAATAAACTCTTTTATATGCGAAATACTTACATTTTCCTTCCAAATGTTTTACGCTTTTCAATACTCGGCTAAAGATGGTCCACAGAGCACCGAATATTACTAAAAGGACAGCAATCAATATAAATAGATAGGGAAAGAGTATCGCTTGAAGAACACACATGCCGGCAATAAGAAAACATCCCTAAAATTGAAAAATATAAATTGCTAATAAGTAATTCGCGATGTTAAAATTTCAATTTTATAACTACTATAATTTAATTTTCCACTCAACTTTAAAAGTGTCATCTCTGTGTTAATAATTAAGGATGCACCGATAAGCAAAATGACGGATTACCGATTAATCGGCCATGCATTATCGGCCGATACCAATCAATCGGCCGACTAGTGTTAATAATCTACTGCATTAATAGTGTGAGATCCAGTTAATTATAATGTGGAAAAAACCCATTTTTCTCCACCTGGTATTTCCATCTCCCTCGGTTCAGGTAAACAAAAGACGATGGAATATCCTCGCAAAATCAACAATCTCTTCCTTTGTTTCTAAAATAAATCTCAACACTTAATTGCAGACGCATGGAAACTTCCACATTGTTTTAAAATCTGAAGTGTTTCTGTGTTTAACAGAAACAAAATATATTTCTTTAACCGCTGATATTTGGACAGCAACTACAAACAATTCTCCTTTTTTAAGTGTAACAGCCCACTGAGGAAAGAGCTGTTTTGCAAATTGCTCCCATTCAAGGCTCCCATACAGCTACACGTATCAGTGAACAGTTAAAAATTGTTCTTGAACAGTATAAGTTGACAAGTGATAAGATATTCTTAGTACTAAGAGATTCTGCAGCAAATCTGGTAGCTGGAATTAGGAATTGCAACTTAGAAGCATTATCATACGCTGCAGCTGACACTAAACGAATGCATATTTTTTAAACAAGATGTGAAAACTATAATCACAGTTAATAGAAATATTGTCACACATTTTAATCATTATGCTGTAGCTGTAATGAAATTGGAAGATTTGCAAGAAAAGTTAGGTTTGCAGAAACACAAATTAATTCAAGATGTTCCTACTCGCTGGAATTCTACATACTACATGTTGGAACAGCAAAAGGCCCTTGTCACATATGCTATAGATAATAAAATTCCGACGTTGAGCCCATATCAGTGGTCTCTCGTTGAAAAAATTGTTCTACTTGTAAAACCATTCAAAGAAATTACTGTGGAAAGCCAGCAAACGAGAAACCACTTCATCTTCAATAATTCCCAAAACAGAGACTCTGAAATTATTCTTATCAAAAGCAAAGATCAGTAGTTCCTTTAGTGGCATTATTACCACAACAGAAGAACTAGAAAACCCAATAAAAAAGATTTTCAGCATATATAGAAAACAAGTCTTTATGCTTGCCATTTTTATTAGATTCAAAATGAAATTTCAAAAAAAGGATATGGTAGAGGAAATCTCAATAAGAATCAAATTCTGAAGCTTCTACTTCTGGAGATGATCGAGATGGAGGTGAATCTCTAAGTTTTTATAATTTATTTGATGAATTAGCTTCTGGTAAACAAAAGAATGAAGAATAGCATGTTTTTAAAAAGAAAGAAAAAAAAAAAAACGAAAGAGACGAACAAACGTTTCGATCAAGAATTAGAAAGATATTTACATTTATCCCTTAAACAAAGACATAGTGACCTATTTTTGTGGTGGAAAAGTTCAAAAGAACTTTTTCCTAATTTAAGCAAAATAGCTATGAAATATTTAAGTGCCCAGCATCTTCCATTGAAAGTGAAAAAAATTTTAGCATTGAAGGTAACATTTATGAGCGGCAGAAAATAGGCTATGCCCTGAAAATGGTGAAATTCTCATGTTTTTGCATTACAATTTAAGGGTTTTACAGTTTGAATATTAAATTTTTATTTCTTTTATATGTTTAAAGTTTAAACTTTATATTATACGTTATATTATACTTATAATATGTATCGATAAAAGGAATAATTTAAATTGTAAAATTTTGTTAATATTCAGTTTGTCATGTAATAAATAATAAAAATATAACAGAAATTTATCAGTTTTTATTACTAGCATTGTACATAACATTCGAACAAAAATACCAAAATGTAAAATTGGCCGATTATAGAAACCGATTAATCGGGGAAATGGCGGATACCGATTAATCGGCTAAGTGGCCGATACTGCCGATTACCGATTACTTACCGATTAATCGGTGCATCCTTATTAATAATACATACAGTTGGCAACCGGATGGCCGAGCGGTCAAGGTGACAGCCTATCGCTCTGGGGGACCTGGGCTCGAATCCGAACGAGTCGAAAAATCCCCAGGAATTTTTCAGGGGGTGGTCCATTCGGATTTATCGGGCTCTGTCTCTCACCACCCGGCAGCCACATTGTGGGCATGGCCGAACCCATAAACGGCTTGCAAAAAAGAGGCCCTCCTAGTGTCCACAGAGCGAAAAGAGTTAAAAAAAAAATACATACAGTTGTATGGAACCATTGTTGTTCTATACATATCTGTTTTTAGAGATGATAACAAAGACGAAGTTCAAAAAGATGTAACGCAAAACTTTATAAAAATGGCGCAGACACTATTCAAGAGGACACACAAAAACTTGTTTATTTACGCTGCGAAATAAAAGAAAAATTACAGAAAACCGAGGTAAGACCTGCAAGACATACAGTACTAGGACGTGTGCAATTACACGTGCTCGGGAAAAAATGAAGACAGTAAAATGTTGAGATGGATGTGTGGTGTGACGAATGACAGAATTAAAAATAATTTCGTCAGAAAAACAGTCAAAATGGCTAATATAAATAAGAAGATGCAAGTAATAAAAAAACGACACATAGACTTGGTCGTAGCTGACATAAATACATTAACACCGGCTGTGTTTATATTAAAAATTAGATTACAGTGCTAATTTTACTTTTTGCGTGTTACATTTGTGTAAACAAAACACTGGTGTGTAATTCGCAAAAATGCCTTTGCAACTGGCCATTCGTGTTAAATGTTCATTACTTTTCATAATTTATTTTACATAAATCGATATATTTAAAATTTACTTACTCTTATCAGCATGAAAGTACAGAAAGGTAACAAATCATCCATGGACTTAACATCTTTGGAAAACCGAATTAAAATTTTTCCTAGAAAATACATAAACGAAATATATTAATTTAATTAAATATTTATGTAAAAAATATTTATTCTAATATGATTGTTATTGTTAATAGAAATAACACGCAGTGTAGCTTTACAAATGACGTTTCCCGGGATTATTATATTTCAAACATTTTACAGGGTACATTTTATGGAAAATATGATTTTAGCATTGAGGAAGTGAGTTTTATAAATTTTTAAACACAATTACTCGTAATTACTCGTAATTATGGTTTTATAAATTAATTTTGTTGAAAACGATGGAATATTATTCACTCTTTTGAAGTACAGGTAATCTCCGTATGACACGGCACTTCTATAGTACGGATTCAGTGTAACACGGTTCGGGAATTGGATAAAACCCTCGTACAACATAAAATGTAATAAAGGGTGCGTGCTATTATACCTCCGCGTAACTCCGTGCCAGAGCCGTAACTAGGATTTTGGACGCCTATGGCCAAGAATAAAAATGGCACCTTTTTAATTTTTATTATTAAAAAAATAATAATTTTATTCTAAAAAATTATCTAATGACATTTAAATCTATATATATAAAAATGAATGTGTCTGTGTGTCTGTCCTATGTCCTTCATGCATTACCACATTGTTTATCCGATTGCCGTGAAACTTTGGAAAGTTTTTTAATTCACTCCCGCAAAGTACATTTATCCTACGATAGATGGCGCGCGTTTACACGAGCATTCGAGCAATGTGTTCGATCGATTTCAAATTGTGAAGACCATTTCCCCCTTTCAAAAAATATCTCTATATATGCATTTGTTATGTACGATATTTGTAATAATTTTTGTTTAATCACTTTATTTCAACTTTTCTTTGCTAATTACGTATTCGCTCGAACTTCGTTAAAACCTTAACTGTACCCCGAACAACGACCGAAGTTGTAGGAAGAAATTCGCCTATTTTACCGATCTAGGTATCCCCCTTTTCCAAATTTTAATATAACTTTGAAATAATTTAAAAAGACAAATTACAATAAAACGGTTTATTATCCAACTCTCAGAAATTTCACAACGTGCCAAGGAAGAGAGGAAGGAGCAATTAAATAATGAAAATTATAAAGGATTTTAAAAAATATATAAAAATGAGGAATATCGCACTTCTGACAATCGCTGCGAGTGTGTGGGTTAAATTTGGAGAATCCGTGCTTCTTGCATGGATAACTGTATGTGGCCCGCTCACGCGTTGGAAAATCTTCTGATTTATTCGTGTACTCACCAGACTGAGAAACAAAATATATCGTGTATCCACAAGCACTACAATAAATAAATAGATTTGAAACGACACTTTGAAATGCTTTTCCGATGAAAATGAATAATAATAATAAGTTTCAATAAAAATGATAAAATGAAAATTTAATTTTATCATAACGAGTTTGCTTGAATTTCGTTTCTTCTGAGATCGCAGCAATGTGCGACGGATAAGCTAGTACTATATAAATATGATTATAAAAAAATTTTTTTTATTAATTTCAAATACATATTCCGAAACCTCGTTGGCGCCTTTATTAAATCGGCGCCTATGGCGGGGACCACATTGGCCATACCCTAGTTACGGCTCTGCTCCGAGCGAGTATTCTAATTGTTTTTGTGGCTACTTTTAATGTTCTTTCAACAAATAATCCATTTAATGGTTGAATTTTACAATTGGGAGCATTTGGCCTCTAAAAGCTCATTTTAGAATTATAGATTCCTCCACAGGATACTATCGATAGTGCGGGCGCCGCCAACTTTATTTTACCGTCGTTCCTAAATGCCTACAAACAGCGGCGCACTCCTGTCGCAGAGCGACCGCTATTATCGAACGCACCCACAAACTGTTATTAGTTGATGATTCTCATGCTGAGATCATCATATAAAATAAATAATCCTCTGGTAAAATATTTACTTAAATAATAAATAAGTATTTTACCTATAAAAAATGAATAATAAATCTGATTTAAATAAGAATTTAACACCACGTTTTTTAATTTTTGGAACCTAACCCGCTTTTCGCACTAGTTCGTTGTTTCGTATAACACGGATTCGCATAACACGTAAATTTTTTGGAACGTAACTCCCATGTTATATGGGGATTACCTGTATGTATACATAAACTTCTATGATGTATTATTAATTGAAATTGATAACACAGAAATTACTTCAATGTGTAACTCGCTGACAAGAAATGATGAATTCTGAGGTTTCCAGCTATGATATAATATAACTAGCAGACCCCGTCACGCGTTGTTGTGTTTCAAAATGTATCTATTATAAATGTATAACACTTCCCTCGTGTGAGGGAAAATTTTTTCGAAAAATTTCTTCTTAGTGTACATTCTCTTGGCGTACCCTATTAAAACACAATCAAAACGGCAAAAACCCGCATGTAAAATAGTATAATAGAAGCCAAGTTCTTCAAGGTAAGCCTTAATCCTGTCCCTCTCCCCCACGGGGGAATATTGAAAAATCCCTTTTTATTGCATATTCTGTTGACACACCGTATTAAAACGCAATCAAAAACGCAAAAAAAAACGCATGTAAAATAGTAGAAATAGAAGCAGAGTTCTCTACAGTAAGCCTTAATCCTGTTCATCTCCCCCCAGTGGGGGGAATTTCGACACGTATATTATATAAAAACAAGTGCGTATTCGAATGCAGCGTTGTGTGAAAATTTCAAAGGAATCGGTAGGAACATTACATTTTTATTTATATAGATAGATAGATGATCTGCTTTAGTTCATCCTCACAGAAAAGCAAACTTAGGGCGTCATACTCGTAGCGCCATCTGTTGGACATAAAAGCCTTAACCCTAGACAAAAATCCATTATAGTTTTATTTAATTAATAAAAAATCTGCAGGTTTGATTAGTGGTTAACATTCCGGAGGTTATAAAGATGCTACAGTTAAAATTTGATAACGATTGGTTCAGTAGTTTTCACGGTTAGTAATCACAAACGAAAAATACGTTGTCTCTTTATATAGTAGTATAGATATAGATAATTNGCGACCGCTATTATCGAACGCACCCACAAACTGTTATTAGTTGATGATTCTCATGCTGAGATCATCATATAAAATAAATAATCCTCTGGTAAAATATTTACTTAAATAATAAATAAGTATTTTACCTATAAAAAATGAATAATAAATCTGATTTAAATAAGAATTTAACACCACGTTTTTTAATTTTTGGAACCTAACCCGCTTTTCGCACTAGTTCGTTGTTTCGTATAACACGGATTCGCATAACACGTAAATTTTTTGGAACGTAACTCCCGTGTTATATGGGGATTACCTGTATGTATACATAAACTTCTATGATGTATTATTAATTGAAATTGATAACACAGAAATTACTTCAATGTGTAACTCGCTGACAAGAAATGATGAATTCTGAGGTTTCCAGCTATGATATAATATAACTAGCAGACCCCGTCACGCGTTGTTGTGTTTCAAAATGTATCTATTATAAATGTATAACACTTCCCTCGTGTGAGGGAAAATTTTTTCGAAAAATTTCTTCTTAGTGTACATTCTCTTGGCGTACCCTATTAAAACACAATCAAAACGGCAAAAACCCGCATGTAAAATAGTATAATAGAAGCCAAGTTCTTCAAGGTAAGCCTTAATCCTGTCCCTCTCCCCCACGGGGGAATATTGAAAAATCCCTTTTTATTGCATATTCTGTTGACACACCGTATTAAAACGCAATCAAAAACGCAAAAAAAAACGCATGTAAAATAGTAGAAATAGAAGCAGAGTTCTCTACAGTAAGCCTTAATCCTGTTCATCTCCCCCCAGTGGGGGGAATTTCGACACGTATATTATATAAAAACAAGTGCGTATTCGAATGCAGCGTTGTGTGAAAATTTCAAAGGAATCGGTAGGAACATTACATTTTTATTTATATAGATAGATAGATGATCTGCTTTAGTTCATCCTCACAGAAAAGCAAACTTAGGGCGTCATACTCGTAGCGCCATCTGTTGGACATAAAAGCCTTAACCCTAGACAAAAATCCATTATAGTTTTATTTAATTAATAAAAAATCTGCAGGTTTGATTAGTGGTTAACATTCCGGAGGTTATAAAGATGCTACAGTTAAAATTTGATAACGATTGGTTCAGTAGTTTTCACGGTTAGTAATCACAAACGAAAAATACGTTGTCTCTTTATATAGTAGTATAGATATAGATAATTAACTATAACTAAATAAACCAGCAACGTGTCGTTCAACTTTCCGGTAACATTAATATTTTTATGGCGTTATCTGTTATCATATTCTATTTTAAAAATATTTTATATTATTAATTGTTATAAAATGTTATAAAGCTGAAATTAAAGGGTAGAAATGAGTTTTATAAAAAATTGTAAATAATAATAACAAGTAAAATCAACATTAAGTCTGACCCTACTGCAGATACACACGACCCCTATTATCTCTTTCCATATACTTTTCCCGAAATTTAACCACCAAAATTTAATAGCATCGATTTTTTAATACGCAAAATTCCGTGCAAAATTTCAGAATATTTCAACAAAAAGCACAGTGGTAATTTTTCTAAATATCTTCTTAGTTAGTTAGTTAAAGCTTAACAGAGGGCGAAAAAAATCTTGCTTCTATTCCCATACACCTATATGACCCCCCACTAACGTTCATACATTCAGAAATTACCCCGAATGTTTTTGCATTTCTCGACGTTTCAAGGTGTTCTAAGCCAAAAGGATGAAATTTTGGCAAGTCATTTTTTGAACGATCACCATCGTTTTTTACTATTATATATAACAGCCCGAAAAAGTAATAACTCAAATAGATTAATTTTTACTTTAAAAAATTAAAGTAAATAAAAACTAGAAATCGTAACTTTCTATAATCCAACAGAAGTCGCATTCATACATACATACCTACAAGAAAGACATCGGCGGTACACAAAGTGTTTAGCCAGTGGAAAAGAGGATAAGGGGAATGGAAGGGAAAGAAGGAGAAA